AGTATTAGGAAGTAAACTTAAAATGCATGACAGGAGGCAACTTCCAAGTGCTTCAGCATCGCAAAACATTCAAGCATTTACATTAAGAGATCTCATAATCTCTTTGCATCAAAAACAAAGTAAATCTTACTGTACTGTTTTAAGTAATTGCAGCTGATAATAGAACAGCAGATCACCCAGGTTCGGGTCCATAAGCAATGTCTCTGAATCTCGTGTGGGAGTTGCACTATCTGTGTGTAAAGGCGAACTTTCGCACTTTATCTTGGACAAGATCAAAGTGACTACTTTCTTGTATCTAGAGAACTAGAGTAGATCAAATCAAAGTTCTTTGACTATCTCTTTGAACTTTTGTTATCTTCTCCATATTGAAAACTCAGATTGATGACAAACTTTATAAAATAAAATTGCAAAACTTGGGCTCACAATCCATGTCTTTTATTTACAAAATAGATTCCTATCTTTTTTTTTTCCCATACACACAAAATCTATAACAAGAAGAAAAGAATCAAGATGCATAGTGTTCGAGCCAAATCCTCAAAACCGAATACGGTAAAACGAATATTATCACCTAAATCTTTCTCTCTACATGTGTCTCCTTGTTAAGATTTAGTATCAAAATGAATAAGCATTCTTCTTCTGACTCTAATTTGGATTGACAAGGCTTACTTACCTCTCAGCTTTTCCTCTTAGATCCCTCCCCAATTCAAGAACTTCTTCACTTCATCATAAAACACCAAGATTGCAGCCGAACCCGTGCTCCTAAACATATTAGAGAGCGCTCCACGGTAAAAAGAAGCCAACCCTTCACTCCTGTATATCTTCTTCCAGCAATCCAATGTGTTACGATACATCGGATGCTCAATCCCAGATTGCATCATTATCCGTCTACGAACTGTATCCAACGGGTAAGAAGCCAATCCAGCGGATGTAGTCACAGCCTGAGCCAAAACCCATCTCTTCCACAACGCCAATTCCGGTTTCGTATCCTCAGAGAAAATCTCCTTAACCGTATCGAAACCACCAAAGTACAAGCCACGGTGGATAATCACACCATGTAGAGACGCAGGTAAGCCTCTATAGATTCCTCTAATCCCATCTTTCTTGTGAATGGTCGATAAGAAATGATAGATTCCTCTGAATTGACGAACTTCAGGCTTTCCAATATCAGCAGCTAAACGAGTATGCGCGATATCAAGCGGATAAACAACAATCAAAGCAGTACATCCAGCTGCAGAACCAGCCATGAAATTAGCTAAAGCACCAGAGAAGATATGATTCTCTTGAGAGCTACTGTTTCTAAGAATGCTTCTATATAAATCCTTTAAAGAGAAATTGAGAGCAACGGAAGGATAATAACGAAGAACACTACTTCCATTGCCTCTCCATAATGACCAAACACCTTCATCTCTAACAGTACGGAAAATGAAATCGAACATTCCTTTAAACCTTCTCTTCCTTGCGTCTCCGACGATAGCGATGTTGCTCTCTTGGGTTTGCAATAGAAGCTTCGCTCTCTCGATTGGAGCTACGATCGTGTGAACGACGCCTCCCATTACAGCACCGGCGAGTAAATCTCTGTGGAAATGTTTCAGAGTCTGTGGAAACGATAATGGCGATTGATTCCTTCGATGATTTCTTGATGGACCATCGGGATCTTCGTCTTCTCTACTCGAAATGCACATCTCGAAATGCAAACACGGTTCTTGATTCTTTGAACGAACGAACGAAACAGGGGCTTGATAAAAATCGAATTTTTACGGAAATTACGAAGTGGGTCGATTTCGATTTTGTGAATCTGGCATTATTATCAGGCACAAAACGAATACGCATAAACAACAAGTCGTAGAGAAACGGGGGAAATCAAGAAAAACCCTAGAATTGATTCAAGAAACGAAGAAACATATGATCTCTTCTCGATGATGATGAAGATTGATTCGATGCCTTGCGTCGATAGAGATGAGACTGGAGAATTGTGATGATAAATAAATTATGGGCTTTAACGGCCCAAGAGATAATAACGAAATTTAATCAAAATTGCAAGAGGAAACAAAATTTAGGAAAAAGACTTTATATTTTATTTTTTTTGAACAATGAAGGTGTCATTGGTAAATTGGGAATGTACTACATAGTACGGAGACTAATTCTGTAGAAATTATTTGTTTATCTTATACGTTAAGTAAACTTTTTTTATATCATTGATTTTTAAATTGAAAATACAAAAGTCCATTATACGTTAAGCAAACAATAGTGGCGATGATGTGGTTACACAAAAGAATCAACAAATAATTTCTATGAAATTTCAAAGAAAAAACATTACGAGTGTGACATAACTTACATGATTATAATTATAACCAACTTGCAAAATCTACTGTTTAATGGATTATTTAGATATATACATGTTGAAAAAGAGTAGCCAATCTCTGTTTCCATTTTATTTTGATCTTGTACTTGGAATTCATTCAACATGTAAGAGCAATAACATAAAGTTGCTAAATATAACAGCTTTCCAACACATGTAACTTTCAGACCAAATGGTTCTAGGTTTTCTTGGGACGCAACTAGTGCAATCTTTAACAATCCAACAGAAGCTGGCATGACTTTGAAGCCCTATGCAAAGAAGCCAACTCCATGAGTATACCCGACGAAGAGATTTTCGCAGTCTTCAACTGTTTTGCGTTTCTTAAGATGTAAGCCACCATTGTCTTCTCTTCCGGTATTCCACTGTAATACTTCCACTCAAAGGTTTTCAGATGGAACCTCAAACATTCACGAACAGAGAGCGGTCGTTCCCAAGGACCTTCAATAGGTTTACGGAACAAAAATAGCGCTCCACACACTAATACAAAATTAAAGTGTATTAGACCACAAAACTAGAACTTAAGACAATGAAACAAGCGAGTAAAGAAACGGAATGCATCAGGGTAAGGTAAATGCACATTGTTGAGCTTGAGAACTTGTAGTTTAGGAGAACTTTTGAGCATCCAAGTAAGTAGATCCCACCACTTTGAACCACATCCACATAGCTCCAAGTAAACAAGCTGCGAGAACACTATATTCTGCTGAAGCTGCATACAGAAACTCAGAGACGTAAGCACGAAATGTAATATTGCAATGACAAATACTTGAAATCACATAAGCATGGTTTGTTTTTGTTTTACCATTGAACCATATAAACATAAAGAGAGGCGCTTGACTGATGTGAGAGATTTCATTAGCTTCTCAGGACTTTTGCAAACAAGCTTAACATTTGCCTCAACCAACTCAGGCATATTCTCACTCGAACACAAATGACCAAAGTCATAGACATCTACGTAGTTCAAGTACTTCAAAGACGGGACATTAATCAAAACGCTATAGTTGGTAATGGTTGGTTCTTCTTCAGTAGAGTCCTCGTTGATATCCATCTCAAGTATAGTAAACCTCTTTAAGGAAGGCACTATAACAGAGAAATATGGCACAGGATCATTAATGGTTTTGTCCACAACCAACTCCTCAAGAACGGGACAACCCGCTAAAAGCCTGCGCTGGGATTCTTCGTTTCCGTACTTCACACTCAGAAGGTGCAATGTTTTCAAAGAAGAAAGCGAAACCTCCAAGTCCAAAGGAACATCCACAACAATCACTCTACGAAGTTTCAAGACCACAAGGTTTTCATATGTATACAGACAATTTGGCAATCTGAATGAGTAATCATCATCATAATGAAAACGGATAATTTCAAGTTCACGCACACGGCGAACAATAGCGATTCTGATCCATGTTGCGATATCCTCAGCACTGGAGGAAAAACCAATACCGAACTTCAAAGTTTCAAGAACCGGAGACTTATGGAATACCATAAACCTGTCAACATATTCCCGAAATCTTGTATATTCATCTTCATCATAACTCTCATTAGCAAAGAAAGCATCTTCAAATTCAAGTTTTGGAACCATTGTCCAAAGAAACTTCCACCGCTTCGACAAAAACATAGTTTCAACGACTTCTTTGGTAGGAAGTGATGACAAAATCTTCAAGAGCAAATCATCGGACAGGTTACTGATCCTGTCCATCTGAATAAAACCTTTTTTCAACTCGAAGACCTTTCAGATTCAATCGAAAAAAAGCAAGCACTAGCTAAAACGATTACCGGATTCAAAGTGTAGAGCTTTCTAGATCTCCAAGGAATTTCTCAGGAAACCCATTTGGAATCAAACAAACCCTAAAACGATGAAGCAGAATCAAAAGAACTTGCCCTTCTTCATGAGATTGCCTCTGACTCTCCGTGCTTTGAAGTTGAACCGCATTGAGAAAGAAAATGATTGAGTCAAGATTTGAAGAGAAAACGGATTTGGGCCCAAACATTAATAATTTACGGCCCAAACCTTATAAGAAAGCAGAAATTATTCATCGTTATATATCTTTCTATATTAATATATGGGAACAATACTGCATTACAATCGTTATTTATCTTTTTTAACGTCTAGAGTAGACTAATCAATCAAAACAAGGTTCAAGCCAAGCATACAAAATCGGAACTAATGACAACAACAACAACCAAAACATCGCAATCCTAACATAAAAGATGAAAGGATGTTTCGAAGAATTTATCGGGGGATACGATCATGGAGCCAAAACAGACCTTTTAACGCGAGATAAAATTGAACACAACCATCCCGAATAACACTTAGATTTTAAAATCCCTAATTAATCATGAATACAATAAACTTATTTGTCTCCTCACTCTTCTTTATCTCTCAACTCTTGAGCATGGGTTTGGCAAATGTTTCCAGAGAAAATAAACGATTCTCTTTTGTTAAAAGACATGTATTTCTTTACAAATGGAACAGTTGATTAAAAAATTATTAGTATATTTAAAAACATATATTTTTGTGTGATCCCCTGATCTTTATTGCGTTATTTACAATTTTTGTAAGGTTAAAGACTTCCTTTTCTTTTTTGTCGAAAGGTTAAAGACTTCAGATTTGGATGTTTCTCTAATCTTCATTATTAATTTGACTGATTCAGTTTAGGTTTGGATTTATCTGATCAATTTTGGTTTGCCGTCACTGAAGCCAACATTCTATGCACTCAACAAGTCAACATGACGTCAATTCTTTGAAACTTCAAATATTTTATTTTATCTACGTACGAAATTCTAAGTAAGCTTTTGCTCATTATTTTCAGTGATAACATTGATCGTTGAGGATGCAAAGAATTATTTTCAGT